TCATAAAAGTGCTTTGACATTAGCTAAACTTTTATTAAGCCCCTGTTTGGCCTCCATTCTCTTTCATTTTTTTCTCTTTTATTTTCAACTGTACAATCTTTTATAAAATAATATTACACGTAAATTGAAAAATTTTCATTCTTTTCAATCACACATTTAAAAAAAAAAAAAATATTAGTCCAACCATTAAAATTTGAAAAAAAATGGGGGCCAAACGGGGACTAAATTCTCCATAGATTCAGTTACGCATTCTCTATTGAATGATGGAAATACTCATTTAAGTTTTAATCTCATTTATCTATTTTTACTGGTATGATTTATTACTACTTTATGCTTTAAGTATATGCATGGGCGGACTCAAGGCGGGTCCTGACGGGTCATGTGACCCCCCAACTTTTGAGATTTGATTTTTTTATTTTTTTGTGGTAAGTTCTGTTTGATATTAATTGAAATCTAAATTTTAATATAAATCAAAGTTAACAATTAATTTTAATAACATATTTCATAGAATCCTTAACTTTTTAAATTTTATCAAAATATATTAAAAATCTAATTTTAACCTCCACCAAATAGGGACAAAATCACAATAAATTTGAATTTTTTTCTCTTTTCTCTTGTTCTATCTTACGCTCACCATCAAAACTTTAACCCTTCTAATTTTTTAAATTTACTTTCCAATCAAATTTTCAAATAATTAGAACCTAAATTTGTATTTTCTTTTATCATATTTGTATACATAGAATGTGACTGAATTCATTATATTCAATTTAACTTATATTTAAAGAATTATTTTTATTTGATTGAATATTGGTTATATAATTTTAAATATAAACATGTATTTTCTTATGATGAGAAAAATATTAATAAAATGATCAAACGGATGAAAATGATGAGAAAAATATTAATGAAGAAATATTTTTTAAATGTAAATCTGCATTTTCTCGATCAATTATAAATCATTTAAAAATAAAAAACAAAGTATCCGATTTGTAAAGATTTTGATTGTGCCCCAATTAAGAATCTCTGCGTCTGTCCCTAAGTATATGGTTGTTTTTTAATCTTATTCTAGTGAACAAAATTATGAATGTGTGGCAGGAGACTTAATCATTAAAATTACAATTGGATTAAATTGATTTTAATGACATTTCTTGTGACTGGAGAAACTAGGTTGAACAACCCTAATTGAGCTATAAGAATGAATCATTGATGTGGAATGACCAAGTCCAATTGAGAGAACTTTGGCAATTCATTATTTCAAACCTTGATTTTATTTTCAATCAAACAAATAAACTCTTTTCACACATTCAAAAGAACATCCACTTTATGATCCTTAAAGTATTTTTAACTAACTCCTTGCGGAATCGAAACCTTAAAGTTGTGCTACAACTACCGCTTTTTTGATTGGGTGAAATCACATGTGCAAATAGTTCAGGCCAATACATAACTTCTATAAGAAGTTGTCTTTATATTTCAGAAACTCAATGTACTAACTATAAGAATATCCATCCTCTACAAGCTACAAAACACACACACTCCCGTTCAACTATAGTCTTCCTCATCTTGCACTTTACTAATCAAGACTGTGCAATACTGTCAGTCAAAATTGTAGAAAGGCCACAACATTGTAGATTATGAACGCTGTATTTTTAATATGTTTCTTTAGTTTGTTTTATTTTTTCTAAATCTAATCTCCAAATTCATAACAAGCAAAATTCTTTGGAGTGACTACCTGTCAAAATCACTGGAAATATTATAGTAATTTCCTCTCCAACGAGGAAAATTCAATCATGGAATTTGGATGATCGATACATTCCAAGTTTGACATGTCACACTCATTTGGATGTGGCAAAACAAATCAAACATTCAAAGTAATAGGTAACATAAAAACTTCCTTCTTTTCTTGAAATAATGCAAAATTCAATTAGCAATGTCACAGAGCTAGTCATTCAAAAAGTTCACCATATCATTTGCGTGATAAGGAGTAGTTCGAAACTAACATTATATTTGGATAATATTTGAGTTTATCTGATTTTAATATTTTTTCAATTCGCTATGTTAAGTTTGGTCGAGTATCTAAAAACCCTAGGGTTCCTGTTTGTGGTATCGTCGTTGAGTGGCTAGGGAAGTAAAATTAGATTGTCAAAATTCTCTTCGGTAGGTAGGAAGACATTATGAATTCCTTCACGTTTCTCACTCATCCGTGGTTAACCAACCCTCTTCCGCATCGCCTTGTTCAACTTATGGTACAGTGTTGGGACTATCTATGATTTGCAAAGCAAGACAAGCGATTGTTGAAAGACATATAATTACTCGATGTTTCTTCCAAAGACAGGATGGGAAAGGAGACCATTGACGACATTACGTAAGAACCTTGACATAGCCCCTCCTAGTGTCCCGTGCCTAGCACTTGTGAAACTTGTTTATCAACTTGTAGTCACTCTTGCAAGTTCTGTCTGTGTATATATTAACGGATTATTCGTTGGTAAAAGTATTAGACCTTTAACTACGAAAATCGCAAATGAAATTTTCGTTGGTAAAAGTAGAAGTTCATCACCAACGGATATTCCATGTTTAATGTTGTTTAATAGACGTACCTTTTACTAACAACATTTGCATAGGTGATGTAATTAGCATTTTTTCTAAACATTGTGTGTACCTACGGATTTTTCCGTGGGTGAAGAGTAGTTCATATTACCAACGTAATAATGGAATTGCAGTTGCTAAAATCAATCAATTTTAATGATTAAAGAATTTAAACATTCTCCTACGGAGTATTCTCAGGTAAAGGGTTATTAATCCCCACCCCCACCAAAAAAATAAAATAAAAATCAGCCTCTTTATCAATAGAAATTCCGTAGGTGAAGATTAAGCTCCCATTTGGTCCCCATTTTTTGAAGTGAAAATGGGTAGAATAGCATTTTTCTTTAAAAAAAAAAAAAAAAAAGAGTGGTTAGGAAAAATGAATTTTTTTATTTAAGTGTAATATTATTGTATAGAAGATTGTAAGTTTGAAAATATGAGAGAGAAAAATAAAATGGAATTAATGGGGGCCAAACGAGGGCTAATTCACCTACAAAAAAATCCATCGATGATATTAATAAGTTCTAATAATTAAAAAAATTCAATCATTCACCTACTAAATATATATAGTTAAAGTGTAATAAAATATAAATAATCATTTATACAATAGTATAATACACTACAACCCAATCAAATGAATTCTTATCCCACATCAGTTCACAACAAAATATTTAGAATTGCCCTCCATAAATTTGTGGTCCAATAAGTGGTTAAACAACTTTTTGGACCTTTCAATTCAGTTGACTAAAAGTTAAAATTTTATAATTATTAAAATAAATAATAATAAAAATAATAAAAAAATAAATAATTTATTATTATTATTTTTTTTTTTTGCCACTCCTCCAAACTATTTACAACACTGATTTTTACCAGTTGTAATGGTAGACATTTACCAACAGAAAGTCGATTGATAATAATTTAAATTTTTATCAGCGGAAACCCCGTTGTCAAAGATTGATACTTTACCAACTAAAAATTCTTTGGCGAAAAGTTTACTCTCGACCTATGGCGTGATCCGTTTGGTCACAATCAGCGATCCTCAAATTAATAACGGATTTGTAGTTGTTAATATTCATTTCGTAAAAAGTAATACTAACGAATATCGTAGTTTCAGGAATGGAAAATTCTTGCTTGAAGCCATGCTTTTTTGTAGGGTAAGTAGTCCAACTCGTAGAATGGAACTCCCTAATAGCATAGGACATGTCGTATCAATAAGGCACTCTTGTTAGAGACCTCACAATTCCTATTTGTCTAGATGCCCCAAAATCCCATTTTCATGACCTAAGAGGGGCAAGTGTTCCACTGCAACTAAGATCACGGCGAACGCGAGGTCATTTGAGCATGCATATGGCTTCTCCATTGGAGGCTCGCCCCTTCCAAAATGAGTACGGATATTATTGAACTCCTAACTTCTAATGACGTTGCATGTATTTTGAAACCATGGGGTCTCAACAATACGAAGAGCATTTCTTTTGCTTTTCAATCGAGTCAAGGTTGATGTGGACATGTGGTTCTATATGAAAACGAAAGAACATAAATAAAAATTCTAGCGAGATTTAGAAATTTCCTTTTTCGTAGTTGTAGAAACAGTTGTTCTTTTTTTTCTTTTTTTCTTTTTGGATTGGAATCCTTCTTTTAATTGGTTAAGATTCGATCGATTGGTAGGAATTTGTGAAAGACGCAATTTCTTCAGTAAGTATAGTTAGTTTATTTGGGAATATTTATAACATCCAAAATAGTTGTCAAACCAATGGTTATTTAGCAGCAATACTCTCCAAATGTCACTTAAAGGAATCATAATCATCTTTGCCCTAAACGGCCAAGTAATTAGTCAACTGGTTGACCATAATCGAAACTTGATACTCATAATAGTAAAATTGTAAAGTGCAAAATTTATAAAATTCGATGCTTGATACAGAATATTTAGTCAGTTTAATTATTTTGAAAATTGAATTTACAGTAATTTTCTTTTTTTCTACCACTTTTTAATTGTATAAAATATTTCCAATCTTTTGTTTATTGATGCCCATTTCATTCTTATATTTAACCATTCTTAATTAGCACATATTGTCATTGATGACGGTTCCATTCGAAAAGTCCGTTGGAGGCATAAAAAGACTTATTTCCCTTTTATATTGTTAAATAGACAAAAAAAAAAAAAAAAAAAAAAAATTACAAAAATGCAAAAAAAATGATTTGTCTCTCATTTTCTAAAGCACACTAATCCATATTTAAACATAAATCGTCATTCGGAGAACCAGATGTACTAATTAATAAAAAATTAATAATAACATTGCGACAAAAAGAAAATTGAGAAATAAGTGCAATACTAAGCAAATACTGAGATCCTTAATACAATTAAAAGTAGTACAAAAGAAAAATATAGTTCCAATATGATTTCATTTTATCCTTAATTTATAGTGAGACAAATTATTTGTACATAAGCATGACATAAGAACTAATAAATTTAATTTAGAAACGTATTAAAATAAAACAAAACTTGGTATATTTGTTTGCATGTGAAGCCAATTGGAGATCCATTACAAAACAGTTTTCCACTTGCCTCAAACTTTGATCAAAATCCTACTTAATTTAACTATAAATATCATAATCATGTGAAAAAACCAAACACATTGAAATCAATTTCTCCCTTGATGGATATGCATTGCAATCTTGTGCAAGAAATTACAAATTCATATGATGAATTTGAAGATGAAGATGATGTTTTCTATGATGAACTTAGAAGGCAAGTTTTGCAGTTGACGGCAGACGAAGATGATGAATTCTATGCTAATGTTAGATTTCCGAGCTCCGTCGATACCCGGAGAAAAGGGTTAAGAAGTAGCCCTCTTTTGGTGCCACAGTGTAGATCTCCTTACAACTGGACAGAGAACTATGCAACTCCTCCATGGCTATTGAGCTTATGGAGAACTAATGGAAAAGGGAATGGAACTGGAGTTTTTATACCACAGAATATCAAGTCTAGTAGAAGAAGAAATTATAGACCAAGTATGTGCATTTTTATTTAATTTTTCTAATTCATTCACTCATCTGGTGTTATTGATTAATGAAATTTCCGTTTAAATATGGTTGCAGGAAGGAAGAACAATGACACAGGAAAAACGCAGAAGCTGGAGGAAAAAATGTGATTCTTGAATTAATTTGTATTAAAAAAATAATAAGCCATTAAGATGTAAATTTCTGTAGCATATTATTTTTTCAGAATGTTAATGCATAATAATATATATTTGAAAGGTTTATGCTGATCGCAGAACACGGCAATCATTAGAAATTCACGAATTAAATATGCTGCAATAGACTCTTTCCCATAACCACTCATACCAGACCAACCACTAAAATGCAAATAGGGATCAGAAATGCAGTCAATATCATGACGAATAATCAGAAACAGAGGGAAGGAAAGGAGAAAAAAAACAAACGAATTAGCATCCATATCATGGTCCATACGAAGTTTGGAAGATTCAGTCCCATTAAACTTGTACGATACACATCTCAAAGAAATCGATGTAAGTTAATCTACAGGAGTCTGACTATCGAGTTGACATTGAGCCGAGGATAGTAGGATCTATTCAGACACGTGCAGAGATAAGCATCCTGACAATACAAACATTTGACCCTCGAACTATCCTTGAGCATTCAATTGAAATTTTATATGGGGCATTTGTTAGTGTATTAATTTTATTGTCTGCTTCACATTTTATAAATGTATGACTTGTTCGTAGGCTGAACTATAATGTAATGACAATATTATAGTCGAAAAAAGGAGTCACTATGTGATCAGTTGTAGTCTAAATTTATCTCCATAAAATGCAATAAAAAGTTGCACAGTGCTTGCTTGTGCAAAAGGAAGTCAAATAGTACCTGCTTCTTGGATTTGATAATCTATATTATGACTTAATACTTCCCTTGCCCTTGCACTTCTATGTTGCAATCGCTGATGTAGTTTTTCTGAGATCAGAGTAAAAAAGGCTGAATCCTACCTGTTTATTAGAGAGAGGTCTTCGGCATAGCATATGTAAATGGATGTTACTGCACTTTCCACAACTACAGTTGCCTAGCCAACCTGAGAATAGAACTCGACATCTTAGCAGAGAGAAGAAATAAGCCGTTCATCTGGAATGAGAGAACAAATGTACCCAACTATGAAGCACGGACACTCCTATTAGGGAATTTTCTCAGAGACCGCCACGACTCAATACTCTTCTATATGCATCTTCCTTTCTTTGTCAATAGTAACATATACATAGTACATGTTATTCTAATATAACAAATAGTTACTCAATTGTGTTGTGATGTACCTGTCCATGCTTCTTAGCTACGGAACAAGCTAATGTAAAATAGACCATTGCTTCTTTAGTAGTTATGCACTAAAAAACCTGGAAATCAATACTTTTTGTCTCGAAACCTATTGCAGATGTAGGGTAAAAACACGGTTAGCTACGCAGTTTATAGTGAAGTTACATGTTAGTGACCGAAATTTACTTTGTTTCAAAGTAGTGAATTTCAATTTGATCAATCAGTCAAAATTTGTTACTTTCTCTAGCAGAATGTCCGACGTGCAAGACTTCGGGATTGAAGCATGTTAGATTGCCGTCTTCCCTGCCACACATTCTGTGAGAGAAAATAACAGATTTTAACTGAATGGCCAAACTGAGAACAAAGCAAACTTGGCCGATCACTTTGGATTAAAATAAAGTTCAGTGATTAACATGAAACTTCCTTACAAATTGTCTGACCAACAGTGTTTTTAACTGCAGATGTTGCACTTGTATAACCCAGGTTAGCACTGATAAGTTTTAAAATAGAATATATGCTAAATTTGTTAAGAGAAACTAATCGAGCAATTGTAAGCGTACCAAGATCATTCCCATGAACATGGCCGTAGATCCGACCATCATCACTCGATCGGAATGTTTAATCCACGCCCAAACTCCTGCACATGTTCCAGCAACAGGCCCACCCAAGAGCGTTGCCATCAATAGTACAGCACCTGAACAATCATAAGCAATAAGTGCTTCAACACCAGTTGACTGAAATAACTCCCACGCATCTTTTGCAGTGCGATTAAAGTTTTTCCCATAAACTGCGATCTGGAAAGAAAAAGCATCATCATATGCAGCATTCACGGGTTTGTCCCAGCGTATAACTAGTAAATACATATATAAAAATAAATATTTCTCCCAGCGTAGATGTATCCATAGAGTATAGTTCTCATTCTAACTGTAATAAAAATTTGCCCTCCATTCAATTGAAGAATTTTGGACAATGATTGTGACCAAGTCCCTCAATCCCACCCCTACCCCTCACTCTCCCCCTTCACAAAGGGTATTCTTCGAATCAAATTTAGGGAGAAACAATTAGGATAGATCCGATCCACTAACTTTAGATCCTTTTATCCTGAAATGGAGGATCTTCACCATTGCTAAATGGCATTCTCAATTTCTCATTTCACATCTAAATTGTTTTTGCTTCTTTTCTCTTGTTTCAATGGTACGTGTTAACTTATTAGTGTATTTTATACACTTATCTCATTGATTAAATTAGAGATATTTTTGTTATTTAGGATGAATTGATGCTTAACTTTATACATATTTCGTTTGCTAGGTGTAACTCGAGGCAAAACAATGAAATTGGACAGAAGAACGAGAAATTTACTAACTTGGACTTAATAAAAATTTTGGGGACTAATTTGCAAAGTACTAAGAGTTGATTCAGACCTAATGTTAATGATTTAAGAAGTGCTAGAAGCAATTAAATAGTATTGGAGGATGAATGATCAAGAATATATCAATATGAACCAAGAGGAACGAAGAATGAACTATAGGGATCAAAGTGCAACACATGGAAAAATCTCATAGTGGCGCGCAAGCCTGTACTTTCGTGCGTGCACGGGCTTGAATTCATATGCAGAACATAGAAGTGATATGCGGCGCTCGCGCAAGGAAGTATACCGCACGCGCGAGGGCATTTTTCGGAAAAAATCGGATAGATTCCTTTTTTGACACAAACTCTTATGAAAATAAAATCCATCATATTACCTAACCTAAGGGACGAGCACAACGACGCTTCTGCTTCCAAGGGCAAAAAGAGGATCGCAAGGAGACCCTTTCTTGTTACATCATACTACTTGATTTGAATATTGATTCAAAAATTCCTATCGATTTTGGTAGACCATTTCTTGTTACAGCTAATGATTTTTAAGTTTCATGAATGATCTAATGAAGTTATCTTTTGAGAACATGACTTTAGAATTCAAAATTTCTCACATTACTTAGTAGCTTTGTGAGGATGATGAGTGTTATCAAACATACATGATTGATGTACTCATTTAGGGAAAAGCACGTGCAACTGCTGATTTTGACCCCTTGAACTCTTTTCTCTTAAATTCTAAAATTCTAGCAAGTTGCAATAATGAAGGATAAGCTAACATTTTTTGCGAAATTTCAGGACTAGGGGATATCAACATGGTAGCCCAAGTTTGAAAAATTGCTAGAAAAGAGTGATGATATCAACCGTCAGACATTTAGAGTCTCAAACCACAGTTGAAACCACTGTCCCCAGGATTGAAATGTGTGTTCTTGAGCCATGTCATACTTTTCTAAGTAATTAAATCTTTAGAATTGAATGCATTACAATATGAGCATTTTTAAAATATTCGGAATTACCATAAATCTGCTTTAGGTTGGACTATAGTTGACATTAAGTGTATTAGTAATTTGCTTATATAAGATTCACCTAGAGGATAGAGCAAGCCCTAAAAGAGACCCACAATGTAGGATAAACTTCACAACAGAAGAAGTAGTGAAAAATTAAGTATTAAAATTGTTAGATGCGTTTATCATTTACCTAATTGTAGATAGTAAATAGGTTAGTCCTACACATGTAGTCCCTAAAAAGTTAGGTGTCATAGTGCTAAAGAATGAAGTGGGTAAATTGATTCCCACAAAAACTATGACTGGATGGCTCATGTACATTGATTATAGGAAGTAAAATGTTGACACTCATAGGGACCATTTTCCTCTTTCCTTTTTGGACCAAATTTTAGAGCGTACAGCTGGCCATCACTTTTATCGTTTCTTGGATGGCTATTCTGATTATTATCAAATTGAAATAGTCTTAGAAGACTAGAAAAAGACCATATTTACTTGTCCTTTTGGTACTTGTACATTTCGCATGATGCTATTTGGACTATGTAACACTCCCGCTACATTTCAAAGATACATGATCAGCATATTTAGTGACATGATAGAAAATTGCATGAAAGTTTTCATTGATGACCTGATTGTTTTTGGGACTTCTTTTGATGCATGCTTGTTGAATTGAGAGATAGTTTTGACCCGATGTGAGGAAAATGGGTTAGTTTTAAATTGGAAAAAGTGCCATTTCATGCTACCTTTTGTCATTACCTTACGACATATATCTTTTAAAGGGATAGAGGTTGATAAATCTAAGATTGAATTAATCTCTAAATTTCCAACAACTAAGATAGTAAAAGATATTAGATCCTTTATTGGCCATGCGGTCTTCTACAGGAGATTCATATAGAATTTTTCATCTATAACCTTTTTTGCCAAGAGGCATTTGAAACGCTGATTGGAAAGCTAACTTCAGCTCCCATAATGCAGCCACTTGATTGGACATTACCATTTGAGAATATGTGTGATGCAATTGATTATGCAGTAGTTGCTATCCTTCGGTAATGAAGGAAAGGTAAGTCTTTCGTCATTTACTGTGCTAGTAGGAATATAAACAGTGTTTAAATGAATTACTCCATTACTGAGAAAGAGTTACTAATAAGTTTCACTCTTGTTTGATTGGTTATCCTATTACATTTTCACAGATCATTGAGCCCTTAAGTACCTTCTCACAAAGAAGGATGCTAAGGTATGTTTAATACGATGAATTTTACTTTTGTAGGCATTTGACATCATCATCAAAGATTAAAAAAAATGAGTGGAGATTATGGTAACAAATCATTTGTCAAGGCTAAGTTTTGGGGACAACATGAACCCCTTGCCAATTAAAGATGACTTTCAAGACGAGCCTTTATTTTTTGTTTCCTCCCTATCATGGTTTGCTCACATTATAAGTCATTTGGCTGCTGGTGAAATTTCTGGAGAGTGAAGTGCACAAGATAAGAGAAAGTTCATGGTTGAGGTACGAAAATTTTATTGGGTTGACCTATATCTATTTAAATACTGTCCCAATGACATGTTGAGATGTTGGGACCCTTTCCACCTTCTTTTGGTTACTTATATATCATTGTGACAATAAACTATGCATCTCAATGAGTAAAGGTAGCAGCTTTTAGGGCTACTGATAATAAAATGGTTGTTAAATTTCTTAAAGAAAATGTCTTGTCTAAGTTTGGATACCATGAGCTATTATTAGTGACAAAGGCACGCACTTTTGCAACTGTTCATTTGAAGCACTAATGAAAAAGTATGGGGTTATTCATAAAATTTTTACTGTTTGTCACCCCAAAATAGTGTACAGGTAGAATTGGCTAATAGGGAAATTAAACAAATTTTAGAGAAAACAGTGAACCCAGATCTTAAAGATTGGTCTTTAAGACTAAATGATGCACTTTGGGCTTATCGTATAGCTTTTAAGATCCCCTTAGATATGTTACCTTATAGAATTATTTTTGAAAATCCTTGCCATTTACCTGTAGAGCTTGAACACCGGGCTTATTAGGCCATCAAACATTTTAACTTTGATCTAGGAGAGGGATGTAAGCTTAAGAAATTTTAGTTAGCTGAGTTGAAGGAGTTAAGAAATGGTGCACATGAGAACTCTAAAATCTATAAGGGCCTGTTTGATACTTCCATTTTTCATGAAAATGGAAAACATTTTCCATTTCCATCTACAAATGCATGTTTGATGGCAAAAAATTTCCATGGAATTGGTTTTATTGGTACAACCCATTTATGTACCATTTTTCTCCTTTTTAAGGCAAATATTTTCCCATGGGTTTGGTGGTTTTACATTTTCTAGCTTTTTTTCTTTTGACAATTGAAACAAATTCTATCCCAAATTGTAACAAATTTTATCTCTTTAATTGATAATTTTAATGAAAAACAAAGCCAAACGAACACCAAAAGATCCAAAATTTTAATATTTTCTAGGTGAAAAATGATACAAATCAAACACAAGTAGGAGCCGTTTGGTACCCATTTTTTTCAAAATGCATTTCTCTCTCTTCTTTTCAACCATACATTCTTTATTAAAATAATATTAAAACATTTCTTTATTTTTCAACCACATATTTCCCATTAATTTACTATTCAAAAATGTATTCTTACATAAAAATGGCTCCCAAACACCCCCTTAATTTATAATTACCAGTAAAACAAGTTCTAGACAATTCAATTTCTTGAAGTTCGTTTTCTTTCTATCCAAATTCTATTCTTGAAATCAAACGAACCCTAAGTAAAAAATGAAAGCACTTCATGATAAAAATATTCTTAGGAAAATATTTGAACAAATAAGAAAGAGTAATTATAGGATCTAGATCTCACAAGTATCCAGGTAAACTTCAATCTAGGTGGATTGGCCCTTTGTGGTCAAACAAGTTTTTGAAAATGGGCAATTGAAATTGAGGATCCTAGCGATGGGAGAGTATTTAAAGTAAATGGGCAACATTTCAAGATAATTTAAATAGGTTCATCCGACGGAAGAAACTTCTCTTGCATACTCTATTTACCATCCTTGACATCACTCAGATATGTCTTTCAATTTTCTTTTTTCGTATGTTAGCCTTTTTAGGTCTATTTTCATTTCCTGTTTTATTTTTCAATTGAGCACTTCTCAGGTTAACTATCTTCCAAATTCCATGTTGATTCACTTCAGTATTCAGATGGTACCTTTCTTTTTTCCTTCGGTAGACATGTTTAGACATTGAGAACAATGTCAGATTTGGTTGGGGAAGAATTAATTTGGATTGTGTTGTAAATTGTATATTCATAATGGAATTTTGGCTTTGATTTTGCTCATTGGTTCTAAAATATTTCTGATTAGTTGCATGTTTATGTTTTAGAATCGAGATGTCAAGACACTTACTAAATTCATTTCATGCACACAATCTTTGTGGTAAGACGGTAGTTTGACACATGTAGCTAAAGGAGTCTCCTGCTTAAGTTTTCATGTGAGAGCATTGGTGAGAATTGAGAGCTATCACATAGTAAAAATGGTAATAAGTGTTCGTTGATTTCTTGAATTTGAAACTTCTTTTGAGAATAACACTATACAGTTTGTGGTAAGATGGTGGATTATATTTGGAAAATGATGAAGGTCAATTTATGATTGACATTTGAGCCTTTTTAAGCTAAACCCTTTAAATGATTACAATCCCTAGTAGTCACTTTGAGCCAACACACATATATATCCTTTTTCTTTATGCATCTATGTAATCCATACCTTTCCATATTGGAGTATAACCTATACACGTATTTTCATA